ATCTACTGACCACGCATTTACCGCTAGAAATCTCGTTCGCAAATCGAGAGTTTTGTGCCGGTTTCACATGATCGATAATGAAAACAAGGCAATTCAGCGATTCACCGCAAAGTGGAAGCAGTTTGATAAGGCAGCCGTGCAAACAACATTCTCCGAGATGAATAATAACAGCGAGAGACCAAATTTGTAGACGTCGTGTTGACAGAAAGCCATTTCCTGATACGGCAAAGTGCTTCTAATGAAACAAGTTACGGATAAGAGGAGTCATAAAATAGCACAGGCTCGTTATTGAGACGCGTATAAAGTTGATTTACCAATCTCCTTTGAACCTTTTTTCGCGGACGATTTGAGTTTTTTGTAATGCGCTTTTTTGTATCTCAATAAATACTTATCTCGCCTGACAGATGGCTCCGATCCTACACCACTAGATTGTATTTAAATATCGAGAAGCACTGTAAGTTTGAAATTATTAACTCTTGACATGTCAACGTAGTTTACATGGCGGCAGGTGGTGGATAGCGGACCTATCGTACCAACACTACCACAGCGAAGCAGCAGGTGCTAAGCGCAAAGAGAGAATAGTATGGCAAAAACTTGCTATGTTTTGAGGAAAATATTTTGACGATTTTATCTGTGGCTGCTAGAATAATTTTACAGCTGTTCATTCTTTGTTTGCTGGGCTATTAGATATTACTTATTTCCAGAGATGTATAGTAATAGCTGATGAAATTTTTAAATTTATCACCACTTCTACGAAAACATAACGCCAAATTTCCACGTTTGCCTTCTTTCGCAATTAAGAAGATTCCCATCCATTCACAAACTATATATTGTGACATACAGGGCAAAGGCTGAACTTTCCGGATGGAGAGGGTTAAACGGGGTATACAACCAGGGAAATTGCGACATAAACAGAAGATAAAGGCAAGCATTTCGACAATACTTGTTCAAGTGATTCCCGCCACTCTCTTAATATATTTCACGTTTGTTTGTATTCCTATCTCGCCGTTCTTTGTTTGCTAAGCACGAGGTTCCTCGTTGTATACACGTGTGAATAATGTTTTACACGAGGAGGGCAAAAATTTCGACTCTTTAGCACCACCCGTGTTAAAAAAGGTAGAACAAAGAGGTGCAACTGGTGTGTCGCGGTTTCTCCTTCATTTGAGTTCAGTAGAACTTAAATGAAAAAACGAATTTATTAACTTGGGTTTCAGATCACCCTGACGCATTATTATTTCGAAACTGGTTTACTAGGCTCGGCGTCGAATGAAGGTGCGGACATTTGAACGTGTAATTTTTCGGTGAATATGCTTTAAAATTGAAAACTATTTCCGAGGATTGTGTGCGTACGTCTATTCAATCAAGTATAATGGGTAGGGCACATTAATAAAGTATAAATAGTCACGATATTATATAAACATTTATGCCAGCTTACAAAATTCCCCCGTTTGTCTAGGCCAGGAAATTCTATCAAAGGGAAGAAAAATGGATGCCGATGTTTTGTATCAAATTTCATAGGATCTGAATCACTATCTGTATCCTATAACCAACAATGGGTGATATTTAAATTCAATTCATGATCAATACGGACTTTTTTCAGTGACGTTAATGTTGCACTCCATTCCCTTCGTTTAACCAGTCTCTCGAGAATATAAATATGCTCAACTGTCGTATTAACTACGATTTGATTTTCATTTAGTCATCATAGATAGCTTTTGATATTCTTTATATTTTTACCATCTTACCATTTCAAATAATGGTATAAAGATCCCAGTAGAATTTGCGATAGTCAAGCCAACTTGATAAAGTATAATCCAATTATATTACCTCGACTGCATTCTCATATGTAGATAGCGAAACCCCATTCTCTTTATTTACGTTCGTTTCATTATGCAGACAATTCCCTTCGGGGCCAAACAAGTGCCTTAAATTTGATCGGAAAACGAAAACAAAGAAAAACAGCCCGATAGAACATTTGATGATAAGCCACGATTAGATATAATGTAAATCGCACATCCACATTTTCTTTGTTGTAGAGAAATCAAAGCCATCACAAAAATTAACACATCTTAGAAAATTAATTTGTATATAAGCGGCTACTACTTACATAAAATGAATTTGATGATCTATTCTTATAAATAAAACCCAATGTATGGTACTTTATTCTTTAAATTTTCTACAAATAAAATTACTTTATGCTGTAATGACCGCTGATTAGAACAAAAACCATAATGTCTTCGGAGACGTACAATGCCAGCCCCGTTTTCAAAATAAAAATATTATTGGAAAAGTGCCCAGAAAAATAAATATATTTAATACTCTCATCTTACTTTCAAATCACACTTGGTTACATGAAAGTAATTCGCGTGCGTACTGGGAGCGCCTTACCAACGGTGGACTGTTGGCGGTCATGCACAATTCTAAAGAAAGGCCTTTTCTGAGGGTAAACGGTCGCCGTGTCAACGGCGCGGTGCTTCACATAGCCCTAACAATACGTTAAGTATTGGCAACTAGGAAAATAGTTCTTTGCTTCGTTAGAAAACAATGGGTTGTTAAATTTTTCCAAATTTCCGTTACTTTGGGTTTTTCAGTATAAAAAATACAACAATATTTTGGACGTGAGGCCATACCTTATTTATTGACTTTTCAGTTTTGGGGTTGGTATTTTCTTTGGTTTAGTTTATTGTTAATCATTACTGATATCGAGTCACGTTCGAGTGGTTTCGAGAAATATAGCACCTCAGCGATAGACTAGTATATTTAGTTAGAGGCACGCGGTTTAGATACACATCAATGTAAGTATTAGTCATTGTGACAAGTCGATAGGCAATTCTGCGACGTTATTTGCCACAATTAGCGCCAAAATTTGATTGAAGTGACTGAACAACACCTTGGAAAGCTTGGTGCTAACCTGAGATAATTAATATGCAATATGCTAAACAAGGAAATATCCGTATTGCGCTTTTTTGAGTGTTAGGTAATTCTTGAATCAATACACAACGCGTGTGGTTATAATTGATTTACAACTGGTCTAATTTATGCCATCTAGACGGGAAAAGCATTAAAGAATAATCAGGAATACTCACACCGGAAATTCGGCATTTACCACAAGGGACTTGGTTTATATATTATACAGGTGTGCAAGACCTTCGTCAGGATCTCTTACATGTTTCAGGAGCGGCGATCCAATTTGATACAAAGCCAATTATTTGCTTTCTACGAAAAATAAAACACCCTTCCATTGACCGCTTCCTGGAAACGCATCTCAGCAACGGCTTCCAAATTAGCCATCTGATGTTTTCGGCTTGCCACTTATTACTATTTACAGCAATTCATGGGCCGAAAGGGATCTCAATCTTGCCCACGCCACACAATTATATGTTGGCTTTGTTAGCAAAGCATTCTGCATTATCAAGTTTTGAACACCGTAATAGTGAATGGTTGAGAATGAAAATTTGAGATTTTATTTCGTAGGACAGGTTTCAAAATATTCAAGTATAACCCTCGAAATATAAGGAACTAGTAATTTTACAGAATCTATTTTAGGCCAAATCTACTTTACAACAAAAATGTAAAGTAAAAGTGAACTCTTTTTATCCTGAATTGCGATTGAGTTGAAACTCCACCATTGTGAGATTTGTTGCTTCCACGGACATTGATTATAAATATAACTAGCCTACTTATAAACCGAAGGATGATAGAATTAGTTTTATATTAACATCAAGGATAATTTTTTAAATACGCATGCTATTATTTATCTGCGAATGACAAAAATATCCATAACAACTCAAGCGCTGTCGTGATATTTTGTCAGACTGTGAAAATACAAATATGTGAATCGAATAGTAAATGATATAAATAGACAAAGTTTATTTGCCTATTTTAAATACGGGGCAGTGCCAAAGATCAAATTGAAAACTCCAGAAACACCATTTTCAGCTGCTCTTCTCCACGAGCCATTATAGTAGTCTACAAATTGTCTGCAATGCATACTTGTGGCCACTCGTGTTATTTATTCCGTTTTTGAAGTGTACACTCGACCGACTTCGAAGAGATCGAGGTGTGACGTAACGATTTCGGACCTTCGAGTGGGCGCGATAAGCACCTATGACAATTTATACGGGTCATATAGTGTGTAGTTAAATGTTAAATCAAGCGAACTGTGTACATGATGCTATACGATACGCTATGCGTACAAGAGTACAGCTGAAAATTTACAATATATTATCCTTGGATTCCTGAACAAAATAAATCACAATGATAATTCTAGCGTTTGAAGTAAATCTTCAACTGAACAGTAGTCACGTCGAATAGTTGAATATATTATTTTGGAATTATATTTTTATTTATCTCGTGCATCATCTAGCGGGGAGTGTGGAAAGCCTGTACATGTCAATTCTCCTTAGAATCTAATCAGGGTTATTGCCATCGGCAAATTACGTTATGCTGTTCAGGTTACGTTATTTCAGATATTAATATCATTAACACCTTGAGGCTAGTAATTGAGTGCGTCATAAAATTTACGTGTGACGTTCAATTACATTAATTTGAAACTTTGTTTTGGTCTAAAAATAAAATCCTATTTTTAAAATATTGTATAAATTTAGAATATATCAAATAATTAAAATCTCAACGTCAGAATGATATTCGCATAATGGACGCCATTTGATGAGTTCACGTCCCACGTTCCGAAAATATCCAATTTTAACTTCTCGTGCTACAATATTGCTTTCGGTAAACCGGACGTGTCTTCTTGTAACTTACCGATGTGGCCAATATTATTTGGAATTTCCCGTAATTTGTGCAAATACGGCATTGTTTATAATATAGTGAATGGTAAGATAGCGAATGTTTGATTTCCTGTGTTATTAAAGTGAGAGAATTTTGGCTACATTTCTCTATATTTTCTCTGTGTTATACGAAATTCTAATGCTTCAGTCTATACTTAAAGTTTCGTTCATGTTCTGTTAAGAGCCTTTAGAATACCATACAAAGTGTCATTACAGCTATAAAATAAAGTAGTTTATTAATTGTTACCAGTCATTATTACATGTATTAAAATTTTCTATTCAATAGTACGATGTTACATATGAACCAACAAATCCTTTTGGAGAACGATTAAAATTTTTGACAGGAGGTGGGGGAGGTAATGGGTCGGTCTTCAACTTCCATGGTTGGGGACTGACCAAAAGAGCATCGTTACTTGGGTGAATATTTAAAAATGAAAGATGGTCCGGTAAGGGGGGATGTAATGGGAGAACACCGTCGGCAACATCATCAGAGACATTTTCAACAGATTCCTCCTCAGTTTTTTTCCTTTTTTCTTTTTCCACTTCTTTTGCTGATTCGTGTTCATGTGTTACATTTAAAGTTGTCATATCTTCTTCAGCAAATGCTTTCGTCTCAATAAGAGAAGGAAGATTCGGTCTTTTGTCACCAGGCTCGCTAACCAAAGCAAATTTTTCTGATCTCTCAAAGCGTTGCTAAAGTAAAAGCGAGGTTAAATTATTGATTCGGACTTTTTCAAGCTGCATATAGTCTGATGATGTGTAGGTGAGTGAGTACAGGACAACCTCTGTTTTTTAATTATCTAAACTATATTTAGTTAAAGTTTTTAATAGTCAGAATATATTTTAGCTTACATATTAGAACATCATGCGTGTTTCAAATTGCAATTATTTATCTATTTTCCACTATGGTAAATGATTAATGTAGAACTATGTATTGAAAAGTTCATTTGATATTTTCTTTTCTTTTTCTTTGCTTGTTCAACTAAATTACAAATAATCATAGACCAGATAAAAATAACAATTGCTATAATGGAGTAAAAGCCCCTCACCTGGAACATTTTTGCCGTTTTGGCCTGTTTTGAGCTCACTATAGCATTTGCTAGATCATTGGCTCGCTGTCTTTGAACTTCTCTTGCTTGTTGGACGTGAGTATTCCAAGCGACATCTTGACTTTTAGGTAAAACTTGGGGCACAACTGAACTTTTTTCTTCCTCATTTTTTTCCTTCAAATAATCTTTCATCCAATCCTTCCATTCACCTATTCAGAGCAAATCAAGATTTCAATAACATTTTGGGAATAGCTATGTAGATCTGAGTCACAGTGGGCTGAAGCACCAAATAACGGTAGAAAAAATTAGTAGTAAGTATTGGATGATTAGCATTTAGTTGAAGTAGAATTAAACGAAATTAAACGAAACTGGAATTCTAAAGCTTTGTTGTCGCCAAAGCATAGTTTACATCCTATTCCTCATATATATTAGAATACAATTTAACACTTGCTTCCTACAAGATTCCTAATAAGTGGAAATAACTTCTGAATTACGTTGCTTTACTCACACCCACAAATTGGCTTAACTTACTGAATTCGTCTTTTCCTTCTGGCGGGGATGGAATATGATGTTTAGGACCTTGGGGCTTTCCTGACCACCCATGGAAACAATATCCTCCACCTATCGAGTGAGAAATCAAAATACGTTAATTTTTATTTGAAATGGTGATCGTGAGTCATATATATTAATCTAAGATTTCAACGGAATTAAGACTAACATAAAAATAAACATCTGAAACTCAAATTGCCCCGCAATGAAAGTGTATCAATGAGAAGGATTTCTTTGGCGATTTTGAATAAACAACAAAGAAATCAAAACGATACGAACGCCGTAATCGAATATTTTTTATTAACTCTTATATTGTGAATAAAGTAAGTGAATAAGATGAAATACGGTCACAGTCGTCATGAACACAGATATTTAAATCAACATAACAAGAGTGAATATATATATATATGAAGAAACTCCAATCGCAATATTGGCGAAAATTTGTCCGATAACAGACAATAGTAAAAGTATTGCACTAGTAAGATCTATCTATCTATGGAGTCTCCATACGGTTGCAAATTTATTTGTTTAACAAAGATTAATGGCGTCATGTCAACAGGCTAAATTATCCAAAATGTTTTGATACGTTTTGTTCACACACTCTGTTTCTATGCATAACATAACGTGTGATACTTAACTTTGTAGCAATTCAAGTTCGTCAAAATTGATTGAAGTATAAATCATTGCTTACCGGGTTGAAGACGATAATCAGAATCTTGAGCTTTGGTACCTGATTTACAGTTCATCTCAATACCGTTTAATTCAGAACCACTTGCAGAACAATTTCTGATTTATAAAACCGTGTATGCGTTTTCTCTGCTACAGCTTTAATGCGAATGAAAGTACTCACCGCATGTGCGTCACGGCAGGTACTGACTATTGCACTTTCATAACATGAAAAACTCTTATTATCGCATTTTGATCGCATGTCTTGACAGTTCTGATGAATAAAAGCAGCTGTAATAAATATAGATTACATCGACACAAGGTCATTTACACCAGGAACGTTACCGAGGGCGACAATGTGTTGATTTGGGAATGGTTACGTGATTGTGATTTCGTAGTTTGTAACTAATAGTCCGGCAGATAAGGGGACCTTTTTGGCCCAAGTTTGATTTCAGACATAAAGTTTTTTTTATCTGTGATTATTCATCTTGGGGTCATTGCCCATCATTTCTACATGGGTGTGGAGTTTGCAGCCTTGAGCAATTTTTTTTACGGCTCGATATTTGTAACAGTGTTTTTCGTCAAACCTGTGCATCATAATGACGCACAACCTGAACCACAACCTGTTGCAATACTATGTTCAGGTTGTGCGCAATCTTGGTGCACAAACTACGCAAGCACCAAATTTACTAGGAAATAAAATCAATAACTTTTAGGTATTTGTTGAGCCCAGCTTTGGGTCGCGACCCATATACAGTATATGAAAATACTGTCGAAACATACGCGTAAAATAAAGAGTACTATTTCAAAATACTCGTTTTTGTTGTAATTAACAATACAAGCCTGGTAATGCAGTCGCCAGTGGTTCAAGTGGATATACACCCGGTGGAGAACAGTCAATTATTTGTTAGCGAGAATTGTTATGCAGCGGGATGATCACGACGACGCAGTGAAAGATAATGATATCACAAGAACAAGAATGAGAAAATTGCTACATTTTATAGTATATCCCTGGGAAAGAATGTAGTTCATTCTTATGTTCCATGCCAATGCTTTTCAAACTACCAAAGACTCTCAACACTTTTACTTCTTCTCTTCTATAAAAAAACATTATATTATTATGTATATGTTATTATATATTCGCATTTCCATCTGTTTGTTCGTGCTCCCAGATAACCGATCAGCGGCCTCCAATGAGGACGGGGTCCCCTATCAAGAAACCCTGTCATAAGCTAAAAAAGGCGACCATGCTTCTCTTGCCTGTTGTCATGCTGTCCCTGGAATTCAGCTACAACAAAAATTTCATGAAAACGGATTTTTAAATTTTATGACTTTATTAACATTCTCAACAATGAATGATATACAGGTGGTAAAATGCCAAGTTATTCCAACAACATGATCATGTTTTTGCAATTTACAACCAATATTTTGTATGTAACTTTGTTTGACAGAGCCCCAAGAGCCCTAACTACAAATATCAAAAATGTGAGGCCAAAAAAGTCACACTACAACATTGTCAAAGACAACAAAGACTTTACCAAAAAGAATTGAAAAATGAAAATGAAAAATGGTAAATTAAAGATCAATTCAGCAATATCTACTTGGTGATATTGCATCTGTTGATGATTTTATGTGTTTGTTTCGGAAGTTTAATAACAGAATTAATTGTGGTTGTTGGGGATGTTTTAAAAAAAGGTTGCATGGAAAAAAGGTTTCACAAAATGTCAAGGTTTGATAGTAGTAGAGAAGTAGAAAAATACTCCCATGTTTTTTTTTTCTCATTTGATAACCACGCCACAGAACTTCCCCGATAAGTATACGCAGCAATTGCGAGAAGCAGAAATGCCAAGATGGGATTTCATCGCATTGCAAACCAATATTAGCAATTCTTATATATATTCGCGCATTCCCATCTGAACAGCGTGGAAAAGATTATACCCATCTACACACTTTAAGAACTATGTCAGATGAGCGTCATATTATCGAATATCAGTAAAAGAATAATGCAATGGGAAAAGACATATGAGGCGGAACTTTCAGTAGTATGCAATCAAATAATCTTATTGTAGAATATAACTTTAAAAACATTTCGTCACGCCAACTGCAGTCCGAAACTTTTTTTCTCAGGCTGAGCGCAGATACCAATTGGCACTTATGTGCACTGGTAAGACTGTAAGAGGCACGCGATGGATCAGATACTAAGAGTATCCATCCCCCAGCTGTCATTTGAGTGGGTACTGCTGTTTTTATTGCAGATGTTACTGATCTTTTTGTATTAAAGATTTACTGGCATCACCGATTTAAGGATGTTGGAAACCAACACGCAATATTACAAAACTTACTTTCAACACGCGGTTTGAATGAATGGAAAAGCTGAAACTAATATTCTTTAGAACAGCATACAAATTCTATGGAATGGAATCATACACAAAAACTCGTCAAAAACCTATAGCTCAATAATCAAGTGGAATTTGATGCATGTGCGCAAAAATGTGCGCGTTACTACGTACAACCGAAGCACGCAGGAAAATGTGTGTGATGTACTAGTATTCAAAACGTTTGACTCAACTATGTTGGCATAACAGGTGCACATCTCGGTTTCGCATACGCATATCTTCTATCTCCACAAGGATATATTAATTTTGCCAAAATCAATGTAGCTCTGAAAGGTTGCGGTTCTCCCAAAAGAAAACACGTTACACATCTTTAGATACCAGTGGATGGTTTTACATGGCCTTGTTCCTTGTTCGGAGTGAAAGACGAGGTCAAATATTCCAATCCAATTCAACTAATAAAATATTTCCCAAGTCCCTAAGCTTAAACTAGGAAAACGAAATGCGCGCGGCAACGCAAATGTAGTTTGAAGAGCGCATTAGAAAGTGGCTAGATACTGTCGATGGATCTTGGCTTGTATTAGCGAAATAAACTACCATTTATTCTACTAAAATTGAATTTCTGACATTGTAAGGAGATTCAATGTTACTATGTATGCAAAACTAAACCAAGTAGTTATGAAATAATTGTTTTTAACAAAAGGGCGCTCCTGAAGTATTCGTACCAAGATGGCGCACAACCTGAATATTGTATGCTTACCATGTGGGGGTTCAGGATGTGCGTCATCTTGGACCGAATACTTTAAATCCACTTAAAAAAAATTGCTCAACATTATATACTCCACACCCACCTGGGTATCATTATATATGTCATATACATTATATCTAAACAATAAAAAAAACTTTATGTCCCAAAACAATGTTAAGGCCCGATTCTGCCGGACTATAACACAAAATAGCCAATGTCTGGACTGATATCAAAATTGCAATTTTCGTCCTACGTAGTGTAAACATCAAAGAATATGAGTCATTCAAACAAACATTTTGGCTGTGAATGTATATGCATATCAGTAATTCGGTCAGCGACGGCCATCTTACTTTTTTTCCGTTTAGTATCTGGACAGTTGAAATGGCGTTGCGACTTTGAAATTTTTTTTTTAAATCACATTCAATGAAAACTTTATGCAGTTATTCATATATCATCTACATGTACCAACTATAAAAATATCATCTTTATCTACATTTGTTTTCTAAGCATTTTGATTTTGTTTGTATGTGGTTTGATATCTAGGTTTTAGTAACTTATTTGATTTCACAGTGACGCCACAATAATAATTCAGCCAATCGCAAAGACGATCTTTTTACGCCGATGTATTTTTAAGCAGAGTTGTAAACATTTACTCCTTTTTGTCTTCATTTGTGCCATTTCAGTTAGTTTTTCAAATGTTATGATTATTTGAAAATCCATCTGAAAGTTTATTTGCAGTATTAGTGTTATATATTAGATCAGGGGTGACGAACCCAGATGCTTTCGCGGACCATTTTATCAGTCACCGCTGAGTAAGCGGGCCGCACAACTTTTTAGTCATAAATAGACTATTGATCAACATAAAAAAAAAACGAACAACTGCATCAATACAGCTGCAGTTATTTGATAATATATCGCAGTATAAAATAGAATAAATATAGAACATTCAATTCATGTTTTGCATAGTGAGATTTTTTGGCACTAAACGGCCGATATATATATCGGCTATATATAACAGTTAAAAAACCTAAAAATGTTCGTAAAAGTTGTTTTATTTATTGTTGGTCGTGATTATTTTTAATGGATAATACACTTATGTGGTTTATTGTTTTTATAATTAAATTACACATGAGGGGGCACTAAAGTCTTCAGTGCTTAGGGCAGGGATGACGGACCTTTTTCAATGAATGGGTCAAAAATCATATTTTTATCGCGGAACAGAAGAAAGTGGGTCACAGATATTTAATCAATGTTTGTATCTATAAGAAACTTCTGAAACAAATCATAATACAACGGTTCTGTTAATGTTGGTGTAGTTTAGTGCTTTACTTTACAGCACTTTATCAGGAACTTTTTATGGCACTCGATTAAGAGTACGAAAACACACATATGAATTACGTTTAGGATGATGCGGCAAATTATTTTACGGTTCGAAAGAGTTTGAAGGGAATTAATTCCACTCTGATATTGCTATATTTTTATATCAGCTTTAACCATATTAAAAACACTTTTACACTGCCCCATTGTTATTCCAGATTTCTAGGTTTTTATTTCAAGTCTGAAAGATTTTGTATTCTCAACGGCATTGTAGGCGAGAAACTAATAAAATGCAAAGTTGCATCTAGTTTTCGTACAACCCCTAAAACAGTCTGCAGAGGCACTTCTGAAGAGACAAGACGTTGCGAGAAATGAACATCAATTGGATTGTTATGTCATTAACTATGTCAGAGCCAATAGCTGAATAACAATGGTGCAGACATTCGTCCAAGATTAGGGGTTTTGAATATTATCATACCGGAAATTAACAGTTTGAATATGAGCGATCGCAGCCCTGACTGTACCCTGACTGGTACATTATAATAGTTTAGGTATTGTTAGATTAATTTAAGGCCGATTTTAATATTTTTTATCACTGATATGTTAGAATTTTTCTTATTTTATTCGTGCCTTGGCGGGTCACGAATAAAACGCGGTGGGTCACGAATAAAACGCGGTGGGTCACTTTGTGACCCGCGGGTCAGTGGTTCGCCATCCCTGGCTTAGGGCACCAAAGGGGCCTAATCCACCCCTCATATGAAGAATGTAAATGGTACCAGGGCACGTGTTTTCAAAACTGATAAACATATGGATTATTCTCTTCCACCCAACAATGA